TTTAATTACATAATTGTAGTCAAGTCTTTCATCTTCATTCATGAGTTTTTCAATAGATACAATAATTCCTACTATTTGGCTATTTTTTTTGATGTAAAATTTACAAATATATAGTAAGAAATTTAACATAGACTTCAAAAGATCTAATAAACCAAATGCTTAACATTCTTACGCTGCGTCAAGCTTGCATCCATAATCAATAAATACGCATAATTCGTCTGGGATAAAATTGAATAGTTTTTCCATGTGCTCGCTTTAAAATAAAACTATTTAGAACTCTCAACTAAAATATATATCCATATATATTTGATCAAAATAATAGCTTACAGTAGAAGCTTTTTATGCATAATTTCACTTTCATCATCATCCAAATCCTTAAGAAACACTTCTGAATCGTATGATAATTTTGAATCTTTTTTGGTAAGGTGAAAAAAATCAGACATGAACTTTTGTTCATTAACAATCAATGGAACAATAGTCCGAAGACAATGATTGAATGACTATAATAAAGTGATACAATTATTAAATATTAGAAATATAGTCAGTTAATTATAGTTCTAAAACTCGCTATATATGTTACCTCTTCAAGTGGAATTTTTCCATTACTACTATCTTTAAATTCAAATGCTTGTTTGGTACTATCAAATGAAAACAAACTACTCCGATTACTATACGCATTTGCCGCACTAAAAACTACGCGGACCATGAAGATAGTAAGAATGCCATAAAGTTACATAATGTTAATATTTTTTAAAAATAAAAAACTTGTTTACCGTAGTTAGCTTCCTCAGCCAACTCCCTCTTAGATAAAAGAAGTCTCATCTGTTGAAGGTATTCTTTAGTCTCCTTTTTATAAATTGTCTCCTTGGCAGAAACATAAAACTAAGGCAATAAAAACAATTATAAGTATATTTATGCCACCAATTCTTAAAGAATTAATAAATGCTGGCTAACCGATTGAACTTCTAAATGTCGATTAGGATCCATTTCTTTCACCCACAATGACAAAGTACGATATTTAGACAAATTCATTGTAATATAATCGTGACTTTGAATGGTTAAACTATTATGTCGTGGCCCTCTACTCTTGTCATTCATTAAAGTTTCTGCCTAATAAATAAAACATTGTATATGTTTAGAATCGATAATAAATAAGTAAATTAGGAATCAAAGTTTGTACAAAGTTAGAATAAATAAATAAAAGAGATATATGTTTGCATAACTATTACATAACTTACTTGGTACTGGAACATCATACGCATATATTCACAAAACCGAGAACAGAAATTTTTAGCATGATATTTATATGATTCTATTTTTTCTTGTATAGCTTTCATCTCTTGTAAAGCTAAAAGTAGACGAGACGAACGTTTTAACAATTGATCAAAATATGAGCCTAGTTAAAATATCGACATACATTTATCAAACGGTGTTTTGATTGCAAGTTTTAATTGCTCAGCTGCTTGTTCAATGTTCTGAACTCCTTGAGGAGTGTCCATCGATTCTTGACGGAGTATTTTAATCACATGGTCAGGAATACTGATTGTTTGCTAAAAAAAACTAGTTAGGAATGATATTAAAAAGTTAAAATCGGATAATTCGATTTTATAACTCACTATAAGTCGATCAAGCTCAGACAGCAGGGCTTTTTGATTAGCAGTTTGAACTTGTAGACCTCGGTTTTGAGATTCAATGTGATGTATATCTTCATCTCCCATAGACTTAAAAAATTATTAAGATTAAAAAATTTTCAACAAATCCATTTCCAGGCAACAATAAATAAACCAAAATTATATACATTTAATTCGGCAGTATATATAGAAAGCCATGAATCCATATTATCCAACTCATTAATTGCTTTTTCAATTTGTTCAATGACCGAATTAACCCTATCATCCGATTCCACCATGGCATGAATATTGGCCTGGATCACGATTAATTGAATGCTATAATAAAACAAAGCTGAACACAACAAAAAAAAAATACAAATACTTACGGCTTCTAATGCAGCAAGCTCATTCAATAACCTCTCTTCTAAAGCAGCAGCATTACCACTCCCTTTCCAGTCGAAATCATTAAGTAACTCGGAAACATTTATTAATGATATCTCTTCTTGTTTGACATCTTCTGTTATAATAATCAAATATATGAAATGAATGCACAAACAATAAATGATTAAGAAGAGATAATATATATATTTAGAATGAATCATACCATCATCTTCAGCATTGTATTGCACCATGCCGTTAGGACTACCTAATTGTAAAGTTCGGTCATTTTTTTGATCAAGACTTTTCAAACTTGAAGTCGATTTGTTAGCATCGGCCAAATGCCCTTGCAATGGACTCTCAGTATCAATTTGGGATCCAAAAGCAGGCTGTACCTTCGTTTCTAGTTCATAACGTACAATTTAGTGGATATTGAAATAATATAAAGGTATTACAAATAATAAGGAACGTAATAATTAAACAAATTACCTGAAATAGAACTATCGTCAAAGTTAATTAGTCTTGGAAGACGTTTGATGTATTTCTTATAAACCTATCAGATTTTAATAGGATATTTTAAGTTTTAATTATTATCTAATGAGAGCCTTGACAATAGCATTAATTAACAAGCTAGATTAAAACCTTCAAAAGAGTAGCCAAAAATAAGTTCTTTTCGCGTTGATTATCAGCCGTCCATTGATATGGTTTGTTTATTGTTACAATAAATGAGAAAGACTAAGTTTATTATAATTATTAATATTGAAGTTTTGGGAAAGAAAATCAGATTAACGTATTCTGATCGGAAGAATAACTTACATCAACGATCTCTACACACTTAATATCTTCCAATGGCCATGTTCTACCGATTGAAAATGTATTATTTGCATTTTTTTTTGACTTGTGAAGGCGTATTTTGCTATTTTTCCGTACTATGTAAAGAATTTTATTGTGATAAGCGAACATGAACCATATCTTATTATGACCCTTAAAAATCTGAGAAGTTCATATCACCCTAAGTTGAATGACTCAACGTTAGGATGGTTCGAGTGGGCATGTGTAATAAAACTCACGATATCGATAACAAAGTTACAAGACGCAACTCACTTGAGACTAATAAATATCTAGATTTTTTCTCTACTTTGGAAGCCCCTTTTTTGCCAAGAGTACCTGGCCGTTCGTTTATGGGAGATGGCCCTGTTCCTGTAGAATCCTCTGATACTTTCAAGTGAATGATCAACGACTCGCTCGCTAAGGATCACACAGGATCAATATGAAGCCCTTCAAGAAAGATTAAGAACTTTACAATTTCAATAGTAGCTAGCAAACCTTGCGAAGGATCTTCAGTCGCCTCAGGGAAGAGTGAGTTTATGATTAACTGCCTAATGGGATCGGAAGATGGTTGTCTGGTCTCTGCCATATATCACATATATCGTTTCGAAATGCAATATCGAGGTTCTTTACGGACTTTTTTTTGTAGAGCCACTTGTGTTACATATATTTCTGTACTTCTCGCAAAATTCCGGCAGGAACAAGATTATACTTTTTCGGCTAATTTGAAATTACTCCGACCAATTACGACTTCAATGCAAACCGGTTTTAATATAAAGCGCATTTACATTAGCTCTACCACTACTTGTTTCCGATTTATAAAAGAGCTTCGAGTTCGGAATTGGTTCTGAATCGGACTTATAGGGACTAGTCCAAAACTCGTCCCCATAATATTGTAACATGACATATCGATTTTACATTCATGTGTATAAATTATGATTTAGGAGAGCTATGGTATAGTAACATTGCATGAGGAAATTTTTTTGTTAGAACAGAATAGGCTGTTTACTAGTCTAAATTTTGAGATAATCGCGATTTTTGCAAAGAGAACGTTGGAATTTCGTTTTGATACTGATCACCAGATTAAATATGATTGGTTCGTGTATCAGGTTTTTGTATAACAAGCGGTAATATAATAACCCATATATTTTTATGTCCACAGGAAATTTTCTGTAAGCGTATTTTTAGTACTTTAAGATCGGTATCAGGGCCAGTGGATTTTAATAGTAGCAAAAATAGCACTAGCGATATCACGACAACCACATAACCAAATCTGGCCGAAATTGTTTTATTTTAATTCTACAAATCTATAGAATTTAAATAAACCAATTTTGATCAGATTTGGTCATGTGGT